CTCTCCGGTGGAGATGCCGGGGGAACCAGCAACTCTCAAGGAGGCCTTGGAGAGTAGTGATGCTGAGGAGTGGAAGAAGGCAATGGAGAGTGAGCTGAAGAGCATTGAGGAGAACGGCACATGGGAATTGGTGGAGCTACCGGAGGGGCGTAAGGCGATTACGTCCAAGTGGCTCTTCAAGATCAAGTCCGACGCCGACGGCAAGATCGAGCGCTACAAGTCTAGGCTTGTGGCGAAGGGGTACCAGCAGAAGGAGAAGGTGGACTATAAGGAGTTGTTTGCTCCTGTGGTGAAGCCGACGACGCTGCGAACCCTACTCGCGGGAGCTGCCATCAAAGGATGGGTGGTGAAACAAATGGATGTCACAACGGCATTCCTCAATGGCGTCCTTGAGGAAGAGATTTTCATGGCGCAGCCAGAGGGGTTTGATGATGGTAGTGGCAGAGTTTTGAGGCTGAAGAAGGCCCTTTATGGACTGAAGCAGGCCCCTAGGCAGTGGTACTTGAAGCTGCGAGGAGTTTTGGAGGAGATCGGCTTCACTCCCTCAACGGCCGATCACTCATTGTTCATGCTTGGCGAGGGGGAGCAGAGGAGCTTCATGGTGGTGTACGTGGATGACATCCTCATCTTTTCACCCTCATCTGACCTTGTGAAGGAGGTGATGCTGAAGCTTCAGGACAAGTTTAAGTGTAAGGCCCTTGGTGACGTCAACTTCTACCTTGGGCTTCACATTGAACGTGATGTGGAGAAGCGGTGCATGCGGGTGCATCAACGGAAGTACCTGGAGGCATTGGCTGCCAACTTTGGGCAGAGTGAAGGCCATGTGGCTACACCCTTTCCCTCTGGTTTCAAGTGTGTGAAGGGACCAGAGGAGGAGAGCGTTGGTGAAGAGGAGAGGCGCCGTTTTCACTCGTTGGTGGGCAGCCTCATGTACGCGGCGGTAAACACCCGACCGGACGTCGCGTTTGCTACCGGACAGTTGGCTAGGGTTGTTCAATGCCCTAATGAGGAGCAGGTAGCAGCTGGAATGAGAGTGGCCAAGTATCTTGGCCAAACACCGACCGTTGGGCTGCAATATTCGGCGGCGGCGCAAAGGCGCCAAAAGGGCGCGGATGGTGTTGAACCCGGGCGTTTGTTCCTCACCGCATTCTCGGATGCTTCTTTTGCATCAGAACCAGAGGACATGACAAGTGTTGGAGGGTTCATTTGCTGTGTTGGTGGAGGCCCAACTGCTTGGGAGAGCAAGAAGCAGGTGGATCAAGCATTGAGCTCGGTGGAGTCCGAGTATATGGCACTCTTCCGTGCCGTACGGGAGATTGTGTGGCAGCGGCGTTTGTTGGCTGAATTGGGGGAGGAGCAGCAAGGACCTACCCCACTCTACTGTGACAGCCAGGGTGCCATTGCTCTTGCTAAGAACCCTGTGTTGCATGGCCTCACCAAGCACATGAGGGTGAAGTGGCATTGGACGAGGAGCATGGTGGCCGCGGGTGAAGTTGAGTTGCACTATGTGAAGACGACAAGGCAGCCAGCTGACATGATGACCAAGAGGCTGGTGGAGCAGCAGCATTGGAAGTGTTGCAAGCTGGCTGGGATGGCTCTGAACTGAGAGAGCAAGATCCTAAGGCCAACAATCCGAGGGGGAGTTTGTTGGTGCAACCCTACGGTTTGCATTCGGCTTGTTGTCCGTGTGCGTGCATGCGTGTGTGCATGGAATGGTATGAGGGCATGAAATAATATATATTTCATGTTCACAATAGTGTGTGTATGATGAAGCATGATTTTGAATGTGTGCGTCGAGTCAATAGCGAGTTATCGCTAGTCGCGAGTCACGTCGTCGTTTGCGTGTCGTGTGCGGTTTTCTATTTTGTCGTGTGTGGAACGTTCGGCGTGTCGCAGGTGTGCGCAGCAGACTTCCAAGAACTCAAGGAAGAATTTACCTTGAAGAACCAGAGCCTTGGTTTCAAGATTCAAGTTATTTCGAAGCTCTCCAAAAGGGTAAACTTTAAGATAGTGAGAATAGTTGCATTACTTTGTGTAGTGTAACATTTCTCTTGGTGTAGGCCCTTGTGGAGGGTAGTTTCGAGACCCTTCGTGGTTGGGGACAGTGTGGCACTGTTCCACATCACTGTACCTCGGCTCTTGGGGTTTGTAGGAGCTGGGAGTCATTCCCAACTCGTAACTCTTCCTATCTTGTGTTCTAAGACTATAGTGGCTGCCATAGTACTGTTCGTTCAAACCGACGCTGTGTCGTCAATTCTTTATGAAATCGTGCAATCTAAATTGCTTATTGTAGGCGACGTCAAGACGCTCTAGATCCAATTTGAAACAAGTCATTTGCAGCTGTGAGCAGAACGCTATCAACGTTTGAAGCCGCTGTGCAGAAATCCGTCTGTGCACTCTATCTTTCGTTTTAGGCACATTCAAGGCTATTGTGACTATAACAGGTACGGGTGCTAGGAAGCCCTGTGGGGTCACAGCGCTTCTGCGCTGACCTCGTCCGCAGTACCTTGACTGACGCGGCGGCACCCCTAGGCTCCTTAGCATCCATCCATCCACAGCATACCCTCCTGCTCCTATCTCGCTGCATCAGCCGCAGAATAGGCTATCTGCTGCGCACCACTCCGGCAGACGCCCTACCTCTCTCAGAATGGCATACGTGGTGCGCCGAACTGCTCAACACTGCCCTAACCGCCGCCAGCATCCAACCACCCCGCCATGACACAGAGTTCAACTTCCTACTTCGCCAAGCAACCCTCCCAGTAGCCCTGGGTTGGCTAGGCCTCACGGACCCCACAACAGAAGCAGCACCAGCCTACCTGGCTTCGACAACAGAGGCGCTACGCCTACTCCGCTCACTTGACCTCCCAGGAACCTCGGCGCTAGGGAGTAACAGCAACGCTCTACAGCCGTCGGCAGCACACTCGGTCACCATCCAAAACTTGGAGGGACGACTGCCACCACTGGCACTGCAAATCCTCCGCGGGGAACAGGAATCCCCGTCCCAAGACCAGCTGCAGCGCGCCCTTTCCCAGGAAGTACATGCGGCAAAAGCCGACGGCCTGACAGAGGAATCACGCGCAATCAGGTCTGCCCCCGAGATGGGGCACACACTCCGCCTCGTCAGCCTGAGAGGTGAGGGAGCGGGGGCATGGCTGCAGGCCCTACCCCTAACCCCAGACCTCTGCTTTTCACCAGGGCAATTCCGGACAGCCCTGGCCTTCCGCATGGGCATCCGACAGAACGTACCCACCGTGTGCGAGTGTGGAGAGCTCGTAGCCGACTGCAGCCTCCCCAACCACTTACTCCGCTGCAGCACAGGCCCTGACCGAACACGCACACACAACCAGCTGGCTTTCGCCGTGGCTAAAATGGCGAGGGAGGCACAGCTGGTGGTATACCTGGAGAACGCGATGTACTCACCACCGGATGACCCGAAGAAGGCAGATGTGATTGTACGCGACCCAGACAGTGGTGAGACATGGATCACAGACACGACCATCACTGACCCCGTGCTACAGAACCGTGACCCAGCAGCCCACAAACCCCCTGGATGGGCTGCAAGGGAGGCTCAGAAAAGGAAGGAACGGGACTACTACAGGCACACAGAACACGTGGTGTTCTGCGCCCTAGCCGTTGAGACCTATGGGGCAAACGCACCCCCCACGACGGCGTTCCTGAAGCTGCTGGCCACAGCAGCAGCTAGGAACCGCTTCAGGGCCAATCCCTTGGCGAAAACCGCCAAGAAAATGGCCTGCCACTTCAGCCAGCGCTGGTCAGTGGCCCTCCAGCGCTCTCAAGCGAATGCCCTGCACACCAAGGCCAGGGCAGGGATCGAGGCGGCGCACCCCCAGATGGCAGCAGACCCATGGCCGCTGCACCTGGGGGACATCCTCCACACGCTGGAGGGGTAGAGGGTCACTGAGGGGGGGGGAGGGTCAGAGGGATGGGCTTATGGGGCAGAGGGTCTAAAGGGAACCACAAATCAAACCGTATGCTTGTACCGCCGCTGAATTAATACAAAGGACCATTTGAGAGAGAGAGAGAGAGAGAGTTCCCCTTAGCCCTCTGCCCTCTGCCTCATCCCTCTGCCCTCTGCTCTCCAGAGCCTTTTAAGGGCTGGTTTGGTCTTTTTCTCCTCAGTATTTCGTGTGGAGTTCAATTTCGGCGGCTCGCGCCGGCGGCCTTCGGCCGCCGCCGCTCGCTTGCGCGGCCTCCGGCCGCGCGCTCCTGGTGGCAAGGAACAAGGCGGAGGACTACCACTACGGGGAAGAACACACACGCAAAGAAAGCAAGAGAGCAGGACTAAAACAAGACAACACGGCATGCAGTTCTACACTAGGCGAAGGCCTACACCGTGTACGGCTCTGCCCCCTCCACCTCAAGCATCGAGCGCATGCACGCCGTCATTGCAAGGAGGAGATGCGCCGACGACTGAAGCGTGTCCACTGGAGTCCCGACCTGAGCAGCACCTACAAGATCCCCCACGTGGCGGGGGAAGGTACGCGCTAAGGGCGCTACCCCGGCAGGCGCTTCCGACACGGGTGCCAACGGCGACTCGAGCGATTCTGCCAAAGACACGCAGGACCCTCGGGATCCTGGACTGTAACTGCTCGGAAAGCTCCGCGTGGCCCCACACACCGCCAGCTGCAAGTTCGCCACCACCTCACACGCCTCCGCCAGATTCAGAATCCGGCACATGGTCAGCATGGGGTCTCTCCCCGCGTGAGTGGGGGGAGGTGCAGTCGGAGCTTCGCGCGGAAACGCCGTCGACCAGCCAGGAGTCCGGCCACTAGTCACGCGCTGCGCGGAGAAGCCCGGGACCTGGCGAGGGGTGCGAAACCGAGCCCCCCCCTCCCGCGCGGGCAGATACTCGCGCAGCGTCGGCGCGCGCTGAGGAGCCACCGGGCCTGGGTCCACGGCGAAGGGAGGTCCGTTGGTCACCTCAATGTGCACGTGCGTCGGCTCCCCACTCGCCCGCGCCTGCCGCACCACTTCCGCAAATGCATTCGCGGCCCGATCGAGGGCGGGATCCTGCCCGCTACAATTGCCGCCACGCCCACCGCCATTCCGCCGGCCCCGCCGACCCCCGGAACCAGCAGAGTGCGGTCGCGGAGGGGACTGCTCGCGTCGGCCCGAATCCCAACGACGCCCAGGTGACCCCCTCCCCCGCGTCGCCGGAGATTGCCGCGGAGACCGTTGCGCGGGGGATCGCGCTCGGGGTGAGCGCTGGCCTACCCGACCACGAGGAGATGGGCGGCGAGGAGAACGGGGATGCGCCGGGGTCCGCTGAGCGCCCTCCCTGCGCTGTGGGGCTTCGCGACGCTCGGGAGATGGGCGGCGAGGAGAGGGCTGCCGAGGAGGCTGACGCGGAGGCGAGCGCCCACGCTCCTGCCGCGGCTGACCGTCAGGGGGGCTTGACGCAACACGCGCGGGGGCCCACGAATACTCCGGCGAGGTGGGGCGCGCGGCAGGCCAATGAGGAAGAGTTAGCATCCGCTCAAAGCGGCGGACGGGCTCGCTTGCGGAGGGATGCGCAGGGACACGCGGTCGAAACCCGGCAGGCGCAGGGTCTGGCAGCGCGCTCTCCGCAGAACCCTCGAGCTCCGGATCCCGTCGCGCGGATGGGTCCATCACCCCCGACAGCACCGCAGCCGACGCCAGCACGCCGACCTATTGGGGACGAGGCGGATAAGGCGCCCCAGGATGGACCCGCGGGAGCGGCGGGAGGAAGAGGAACGCGGGGAATCCGCGTGGGACGCGGCAGCAACCGCCGCGGGCGACGCGGGAACGGGAGAGGACGCCGAGGTGGTGGAGCGCGCGGCACAAATCGGCGCCGTACCGGCGCAAGCGGATACGCGAGAACTGCAGAAAGGCTAATGCGTGAAGGCGCGGAAGGCGGCGAGGAGGTGCTCAGCGAGGAAGCAGAGGACGAAGTCGAGATTGAAGAAAGCGATAGGGGTGACCCCGCTTTTAACCCAGAAAGCGAGGGGATGTTCGAAGCAGAGGCCGAGGAGGACGAGGCAGAGTTGGAGCTGCTGCTTCAAGAAATGGAATCCCCAAACCAGCAGACCCGAGGCGACCCCGCAAACCGAACCACACATCGAAACCGAACCGCGGGGGGAAATCGTGCAAGGGGGGGAAACCAAGCCGCGACAGAAGACGGAATTGACTCTGCAGCGGCCAATGAAAATTCAGAAGCCCCTAATCCAACCCCCCTGATGCTCAAACCGGACGACCTGGCGAAAAACACTGGCCTGTTCGCCCAGGTTGCAGACTGGGACCTTGACCCGCTGCGCGACAGTCGCCAACCTCCTCTCGCCCGCCACCCCCCCAAAGACCTTCGCGAAACCTTCGCGATCTGCATGTTGACACCGTTACTCCACCTGGCGGCCAATCCCGAGTCCCCACCAGGGTGGAAGTTACTGACCTTCCTCCCGCGCCTACTTCTTCGCACCTCGTCAGCCCGTAAGCCTGACTGGAGCGCGATGATGAATCGGCTCCTGCTTTTTCGCCAAGGGTCCTGGGCCGTCCTATACGAAGAAGCTGTCCAGGCGATTTCCCTGCCACCGCATCCTCGCCACGCACCTGACACAACTGGAATCCTGGCAAGAGCGGAAGGACTGGCAAAACGGGGTAACCTGTCAAAATCACTTCAATCCCTCCAGGCCACTCCCGTGTCGCCAGCCTCACCTGAAGTGTTGGAAGCCCTCACGGCGAGACACCCACCTGCAGGCCAATCACTCCCTGATTGGCTTCACACTGCCACGGCGGAAGACCCACCCACTGTCGAAGCCCGCGACTTCAGTCGTCTCCTCGCCAAGCTCCCCAATGGAGTCGGGGCCGGGCCTTCAGGAACCACCTTCGAGCACATCCGAGACGCGGCCCTTGGGAATGCCGAAGTACTCACCCATCTCCTCGCCCTCACAAACACGGCTCTAGCAGGAAAACTCCCCGCTGTCGCAGGGGAACTCTTAACGGCCTCCCGCCTGTTAGCCTTTACGAAACCTCAAGGTGGGACGAGGCCAATCGCGGTGGGTGAATGTCTCCTCCGGATCATTACCAAGGCCGCCCTATTTCTGACCGCGCCGGCTGCTCGTACTCACTTTGCTCCCCTTCAGTTCGGAGTAGCAGTAGCAGGGGGGATCGAAGCGGCTATTCACACCGCTCGCACGTACCTGGAAGTGCACCCAGGGGCAGTGGCGCTGCAGATTGACCTCGCGAACGCGTTCAATGCGGTCGAAAGGAGAGCGGTGTTCGAGGGGCTAAGAAACGAGGCGCTGAAGGCGCTGATTCCCCTCGTCCGCCTATCCTATGGGGCTGCCTCCTCTCTCTTCCTCGACCACGACTTCGGCGCCGCCCCGCTGCAGAGCGCCAGAGGAGTCCGCCAAGGGGACCCGCTCGGCCCCCTCCTGTTCGCGGCAAGCATCCATCCGTGCCTCGTTGACACGGCGGCAGCACACCCTCAGGTGGTCCTGCTGGCGTACGCCGATGACATCACGCTGCTCGGCGACGCCACGGCCTGCACAGCGGCATTTGTCCACCTCACATCGGCACTAGCCGCCCTCGGCCTGGTTCACAATACGGGAAAATGCGCGGCGTGGTCTGCCGCAGCAATCGACCCTTCTTCAGTTCCCCCAGGCATTAGTATCGCCGAAGAAGGGTTGCAGATCCTCGGCAGCCCAGTGGGCACACCCCGGGGCTGCGCAGGCGCTGTGAGAGAGAGATTGGCAGCAGCGGCAGCCCCACTCCCCCTGCTGGCCCAGATGGACCCCCAGCTTAGTCTCCTCCTCCTCACCCGCTGTGTCAGCCGCCGAGCATCTTTCCTGGCCAGAACCACCCCCCTGGAAGCCCTCCCGGAAGCGGAATGGTCTGCTTGGGGGGAACAGCTCCTCCACACCTTCTTGGTTTCGGCCCACATCTTGAGCCCGAGGAGTGCCAGGGAGAGACGGAGGATCTGGCGGCAGGCAGCACTGCCAGTGACTCTGGGAGGCCTAGGCATCACTGACCCCGCTGTTGAAAGCAGCTACGCCTACCTCGCTTCAGTGATCAGCGCCGCCCACCTCCTACACTCCCTGGAGAACTCACTGCATCCCGCTATCGCCGCGCTCCTCCCCCTACTGGACCCGACCCACGGCTCTCCGCACGCGCTGCCTGCACGCCTCGCTGCGGCTGAGGCAGCTCTCCCCCCAGAGGCTCTCGAGGTGCTCCAGGCCGGGAAGGCAGACCCCAAGGGACTGAAGCTGCAGCAAAGCCTAGCGCTGGCGGTTCACTCCCACCGCTTCCTGAGAGTCATGCGCGAGGCAAGGCGGATGCGCCCCAACCCCCGTTCTGGCCACACGCAAAGGATGCAGTCAGTGCTAGGCCCAGGCGCGGGGGACTGGCTACTGGCGATCCCGCTCATCCCCTCGCTACGGATGGGCCCATCCCAGCTCTCTACTGCAGCTGCCTTCCGCCTAGGCCTTCCCCTCCCCGTGCCTAGACGCTGTGACTGCCGCTACCGCACCACCTTCCCCGACGATCGCCTCCCCAACCACCTCATGCGCTGCGAGAAGGGGAAAGGGAGGACCGCAACCCATCACGCCCTGCGGGATGAGATTGCGAACATAGGGGCTGAGGCGGGGTTTACGGTTCACAAGGAGACGTATGTCTACTCTCTGGTTGAAAACCTAAAGGCGGATGTCACCATCCGTCATCCCCTGACTGGAGAGGTTTGGATGTGCGACGTGACCGTGACGGACCCGGTGTCCTACCAGGACGAGAACTGCAACCGAGCTCCTGGATGGGCGGCTAGGGCGGCAGCGGCGAAAAAGGAGGAGAAGTACGCCCGTCGGAACGCGTGGGTGGGATTCCACGCGCTTGCAGTAGAAACCTACGGCTACCCCTCGCCAGGGGTGATGGCTTACCTGCGGCAATGCGCGGAGCTGGCGGCGAAGCTGCGTTTTAACGCAGCACCTACCTCCTACGAAGCAGCGAAGCTGCTGACGGAGTACCGCCAGCGCTGGAGCGTGTGCCTCCAGCGGGCGCAGGCCAACGCCCTCCGCACCAAGACCAATGAGGCCTTGGCGACGGACGAGCTCGGCTTTCGGGGCCCCATCATCCCTCTCAGTGAGGGACAGCTGCACCAGTTGATTGAGGCCCCTCTCGACCAGTAGGGTCGGACAAGGGGGGGGCGGAGTAGGTGGGGGACTTGAGGGAGATAGAATACCGGTTTGTGTGTTTGTTTATGCTTTGTGTTTTGCATCTTCCTTTGTACCACCCCATATGGAATGCAAGGACCATTCGAGAGAGAGAGAGAGAGAGTTAGTGAGGGGCAGCTGCACCAACTGATAGAGCCCCCGTTCGACCACTAGGATCGGACAGAGGGGGGCAGGGGAGAGTAGGTGATAGTGTGGTAGGTAAGATACTGGTCTGCTTGTCCTTCGTGTGTTTGCATCTACCTTGTAACACCCTATAATGAATACAAGGACCATTCGAGAGAGACATTTTTTATAAAGTTCACAAATTCGGCGGAGAGAGAGCCAGAGAGGGCATGGGCTAGCCTTACCATCCCCTCTGTTCTCTGCCCTCTGCACCTTGCCTTTCTCCTCTATGTAAGGGGCTGTTGGGCTTTTGCCTGCTCAATTTTTCGTCTGAGCTCACAAATTCGGCCGTTCGTGCCTAGGAGCGGCAAGCAAACAGAGCAACGTGAGCTGGAAATTCAAGCATTATCTCGACCAGAATGAGCATGAAACCGGCAAACAGCCCCTAATGCTACCTACGCAAGTCCATTCAAGGAGGGGGGGGCTTACTGGAGGCGGCCAGCCCCCTCACCTTGTCAACTCAGTCCGCCCTTCCAGCTCCTCCTGTCGTTCCTCCTACTCCCATTCGGCCTGCTGCTCCTGATGGGTCCCTGGCACGAGCTGATTGGCTGCTGCTTGGGGAAGGCGGATTTGGGGGGACGGGAGGCGGACCGGCGTGACCTCGGTTTGTTTGCCACGTTCCCATCCCACTACGAGTGATCTTGATGTGTCGTCCCTCAGTGCTCGCGCCTCGGCGATAATTCCGCTGACAAAGGAAGTCCCCACGGCGATCCTGGCTCAGTTATGGTCCGCTCGACCCTGGCCCACTTATGGTCGCTGGCGGACTGCCTGCGGAACCTTGAGCAGATTCTCCAGTCGTCACACTCGTCCTTGCCGGTGGCCCCACCGAGCATATTCGGTTAGAATCCGCAAGCAGTTTGTCATGGGGCGGCATCGGCGCCGCTTGTTCTCGTGGCGCCACTGCAGGTTGCGCCCTCCCCAGTGCATGCGAGGCCAGCCAGCTGGCTGGGTCGGCCCTGCTGGCTGGGCAAGGCAGCTGGCAGGGTCTGAGGTCGATTGCAGGCGCAGGCACTCCAGCTGATGTTTTCGGCGCAACTGTGTCAGTGGTCCGTCACTTATGGCAGACCACGAGCGGAACGATCGCTGCCCTTGAGGCGGACCGCATGTAGCCCCCCCCCCTTTGCGCGTGTAGACCCTCTCCATAGATCCAGGAATAGATGAGGTTGCTTGCCATGCTTGTACTGCTTTCGTTTACTACTGCTTGGTGGCTTGGCGTGTTCTCCCCTTGCCTCCCCTAGCGCGCGGCTGAAATCGAAGCGCCGAAATCATCTGAAGAAACTGAATATTGAAGAAGGAGTGGCAAGACAAGCCCCTTAAATACCCATGGCAGAGGACAGTAGGCTATTCCTCTCTCTCGCTCTCTCCCAAAAACCGAAGATTTGGGAAAAACTGAATAGTAAGGGCCCGCTGTGCTCTGCCCTCTGCCTTCACCCCTATATAAAGGCCAGCTGTGCTCTGCCCGCTGCTTTCAGCCCTATATAAGGGCCAGCTGTGCTCTGCCCTCTGCTTGCACCCCTATATAAGGTCCAGCTGTGCTCTGCCCTCTGTTTTCACCCCTATATAAGGGCCTGCCGGCTCACGCTGCCGGCATTCGGCCGCGCGCTAGTTTTGGCAAAGAGGAGGCCAAGAGGATGGGGAAACAAATACTGGTAGGGCTGCATCCGTCACTGTTGCTTGTCACCGTCAACATGACGAAGAGGCAGGAATGGCGCCATCACCGTTGCTCATGCCGCCGTCACAAACCCACGCGCCGCGTCGGGGAGGACGGTTGCGTGAACGCCAGCAACCGGAGCTTCAACAGCAGCATCCCGGACTTGGGAGCTCGAAGAGCCTGAAGAGCCCGCTGTGCACGCCTCACCGAGTTGTCCAGGCAGCGCATTGAGCACGTGTTCAACAGGAGAATTCTGCCCCTGCCCATGGCCTCCCCGCCCAGCACATCAAGTACGCGTTCGACACGGGCCCAAACCACCTCCCACAACGACCACCAGAGCCCGACGATCGTTGTCGCGGAGGAGACCAATGCCGCGCCGGGCTCTCCGCGCGGCGCCCAGGGCCATACCACCCCCCGCGAGACGGAGGCGAGGACCCACCGTGGCGAAGACGATCCGGG